AAAGATTAGCTTCAAAAAATATATAATAATTAAATTTAGTTAAATTCAAATTAATTGAAGAGGAAAAAAGTATAGAAATGTATACTTATCATTAAACACTTTATAAAACAATCATCTCAACTTTTCATTTTTTAAGATAAAAGTTTAAAATATAAAATTTATTTTTCTAAATAATTCCTCGTAATTACACGTAATTCTGTGGAACATTCCATGAAAAATGCGAATCGCAAAAATTAAACGCAACAAAATTGAAAAGTGGAATTATGCGTAATTACGTAGAATTCCATTGTAAAATTCCGTTGCAATAAAATTCTGAAGAATTCCGCTAAAAGTTCCGCGGAATTACGTCTACGATTTGCACTATATTCTTGCTGAGCCCTTCACACATTATTATTGTTACCGTGGAATTATTAAGAGGTCCGCTTTTGTGACAATTGATAATACGTCCTACAGAACAAAGAGGTCCAGTCCTAGCCATATAAAGAGTCATCTCGAAAGCATTCTTTTTCAATGAATTGATCTATTAAAAAGGCTAATAAGTCCACTTATTCCATTTTCCTTCCCTATAAGCATTAAGAAATAAATAAACGGTTTCTTAATTTAAAATCAAATTTTTAAATAGGCAACAAAATATTAAAATATTTAAAAAATAATTTAAATGTAAAATTAACTGATTTATAAAATTTAAAATGCAATAAAGTCTTTACTTTATTATAACATTCAATGATAACATCGTATAACAATTGAATTGTTACCAATACTAGAAAATGAAATTTAGTCAATTAAATAAGATTGACTTATGAAGACAGAAGTAAGAATTTTGAAAAATTGATTTTGGAAGCAACTCAAAAAAATATAGAAAAGTGTTAAAAAGTTTAATTCGATGCTTTGGTTTGTGACTGAAACAAAATTTACTAGCGAAAAAATGTTAAAATTTTCAAAAAAAAATCATTAATGGAAGAAAACTATATAAACATAAACCATGAAATAATTTGCTCGATTTGAAGCAGAATAATAAAGTTGATCTTTTTTTCAAAAGAAAAAATTTGCATTATAAATTGTGGAAAAACTGGAAAAACTAATGTGTAAAATCGCAACTAAATTTTATTATTTTAAAATTGTTATGAAATTATATAAAAAAACTAGAGAATTAAAACAAAGCTTATAATCAACTAAAATTAATAAAGCAAATTATTTCTTAAGATCCATTAATAGTGGCTAATAATTTTGCACTGTAAGTTTTGATCTTTTCAGTCTAAAATGTTAATTTGTGATGAAAATTGTCGAAAATGAAATTTTCTTTTTTTGATTACTAAAAGCTAATTGTTTGGTATGAAAGGGCGTAGCTACACTTTTTGAGGGGGCATTTTCAAGTTTTTTGTATGAAAAAAAAACCTTAAGCAGAAAGTTTTTCTAAGAGATGGGGGTGGGAGGGGGGGGGGAGTTCGAGCCTCCAAATCCACCCATCCCTTGCCAAGCGCCTGTGACATTGATCATTCAACGATTATTTGAATGTTTATGCAAGTTTCATCGACTTTAATATAACTTGATCTAAAGATAAACATTTATTTTTATTTCTTTTAATCTTGATTTTAATTTTTTGATTTTAAATAAATAATTTTGTATAAACATGTCTTCAAATGCAGAGGTTTTAAATCTCATAAGAATGTCAAAAAAATACCCCTGAAAATACCAAAGTTTTTATCATTCGACAAACATTTATTTAGTCTTTAATCTTGTAGAATTGATGAAGAATTTAAAAGATTATAGAAGTCCTCGTGTTATTGATCGAGGGACTTAAGCGCATTTTTGTGTTAGCGATCAGCATTTGATTATCTAATTATTAATTTGTTGCAATGAATTTCCATAAAGAAAAGGTTTATCATTTAAAGGTTTTTTGAAATTTAAATTTTTAAGACTTTTAAGCATTCGATGGGCCGATATATCGATAGTAACGGAGATAATAAAACAAACGCGAGCTCTCTACGATGTCTAATTAAAAAGTTTTTCTTCGCCCGAGCAGCCCAACAGCCGAACAAAGTGTATTATTAAGCTATCTTTTAGAAACAAGTTTCAAAAATGCGCTAAAAATGGTGAAAAGTCAAATTAATCAACTTTTCATCATAAATTGAAATCCTTTTTTTAAGAAACAAATTTTTACTAAAATTGTAGAATGTTTCTAATCTGTATAACTTATATTAAATATTATTTTCTATTTCATATTCACACAAAATTTTCAATTTTTTTTCTATCTACTTTTAGATTACTCATAAAATAAACTAACCTAATTGTGAAGTGATAACATTTATAACATTATTTATATGTAAGTATTTCATCATTTTGAGTTTGAATCAGTGCTAAATTTGCATAAAATATTTTAATAATTCATGTTGGCCTTTTTAATCGCTACAACAAACATATTTAAAGATTTTTTTTCATTAAAATGCAGACTGCATCTCTAATTTAATGAATAAAAAAAATTATAAAAAAAGAATATTTCGGCATGGCTTAAAATAACTCCTCCGACTCAATATCTTCTAGCTACAAAGAGTATAAATAAAATCATTATATTTAGACACAACAATTAAACTCCCCCACACAATTATTTTGCGAACCATAAATGGTGATCTCTTTCTCATTCAGATCGTGTTTACCAAGGCGTGAAAACTCAGGATTAATCATGTTAAGTCCCAGAAATCCATCAGTTAATATGCACTATAGATGAGAATAATTTTTAAATCCCTTTTCATTTTTCATGCATATTAACTCAGGGTTTTTTTTTTTGAATTTCTGGGATTTGTGAGCTGAAGTCGCTCGGTGGTAGAATGGTTTAGTCCTTTGGTACCTAATTATTGCAATACTGACATAGCGATCATAGGTTCGAGACTGGGAATGGGAAAGTTTTAAATCCTTCATTTTTGAATCATATGTACTGGAAATGAGGCTTACAGCCTTCCTTTGTAGGCTACAGGCAGAAATGTCATCAAAGGAGTGTTCGGATCCCACTATAAATTGTAGGTCTAGGTTTGAGTGCAGTGGTTTGGCGCATCCTCACTCGTTAAACTCTCAATAGCTGCGAAACGCCCTAGCGCACCTCTGGATCCCAATTGATCTAAATAGGTAAAGGGTTTTTTTTCCTGGGATTTCACAGGATTAGTAATCTTATTAAAAGATCTCCTGATTTTTGTACCAAATATTATTTAATCTTTTTTGCAAGGGTCAGACACTCCAAAAGTATTGTACAGTATTGTACAATACTTTACAATACATATGAAAGTATTGTAAGTATTGTACAATACCTACAATACTTACAATACTTGTATGGAAAGTATTGTAAGTATTGTAAGTATTGTACAATACTTACAATACTTACAATACTTGTATGGCAAGTATTGTAAGTATTGTAATTTTTACCGGACACTTTGAGATTTCTAAAAGAATATAAATTTGATTTTAACTAAAGATTTTTAAGATTTTCTTGCTTTTTTACATTTTTTGACTGTTTAAAATACAAAATTATTAATTGTTTTATTAAATGTTTTCAAGTTTTACTTAGAATTGTTTATAGTCTACAAAAAAAAATCAATATTTAGAAAAATCAACCTGGGTGGATAAAAACAAAATCTGGTGTGTTTTGAAAATATGTGCACACAAGAGATATGTGCGGAAATGTGTGAAAATGTGTGAATATGTGCATATCCTCACATATCCACACATTTTCGTATGTGCACATGTGAAACATGTTGGATATATATTTTAACAACCCTGAATTATTTTAAAAACATTTTTTAATTTTTAAATGAACTATGAAAACGGAAAAGGGAAAATAGAAGGAAACGTTAAAAAAAATCTTATTTTTAAACATTTTTAAAATGAAATCTTGATGATTAAGACTCTTTTTTTATTGCCAGGACAAAAATCAAGATGCTATAATCAGGGTGGGTAGATTTTTTGCAATTTAAATCAAAATCTCTGAATTTATTTTTGATTTTGATTAAAATCTCAATGAAAAATGATTTTAAAAAGGGATTTTGATTTAAAACATTTTACCCAAGTGATTTTTTTCTCGATTTTGATTTAAATTCATTTCGTATGGGGATTTTTTGTGGGATTTTAATTTAAATCATTTTTTCAAAAGGATTTTTCTTTGGGATTTTGATTTAAATCTCTTGTATGAAAGATTTTATTGGAATTGTAAAATCCCTCCATCTAAAATTTTTGTATTCAATTTCTCAATTTTTTTTTTCAAATCAACAGTTTTCAGTTGCAGTTTCTCATAAGTAAGAATGCAGTTGATCCTTTTTCGGCCAGATTCTTGCAACTGGATCTTTTAGATCCAAACATTTCTTAAATATAGGTTACAGCAACCAATGGTTCTATGCTGTTTGACTTAAACGAAATCCAATTCGTGATTTTTAATCTTCTGTGCCTTGCTGCTTGCATATAAATATCTGGACTTCATCAAGCATGTCTGGATCTTACTGCATATGTGGTAAGCAACTACCTGCTTTCAATGCTTTTAAAAACTTAAATGTCTTTTATTACAGTACCGAAGTAATCTACGTTAGTTTAATGAGTCATAAGCAAGAATACATTCATAGCACTTGAACTGCCTAGTTCGTTTACATCCACAAAAAATTTTTTTGTTGCTTCTTTATCAAGCAATCACCTCTTGAAGTCAAAAAAATTACAAAAGTCCTCGTGTTATTGATCGAGGGACTTAAGCGCATTTTTGTGTTAGCGATCAGTATTTGATTATGTAATTATTTTGCGTTCATTTACAGATCATGAGAAGATTAGAAGATCATTAATTTTAGTGTAATTAACAAAAAGTTACAATGAATGCTTATATAGAAAGGATTATTATTTAACGGTCAATAAATAATTTGAAATTTTCCCGCTATAAGTTGCACTACGAAAAAATTAATTATAGTATAATTAAATAATTTGTTGCAATGAATTTCCATACAGAAAGGATTTATCATTTAACGGTTTTTTTTAATTCAAATTTTACAACGGCTAGAAATTTTTTGAAATTATAGAGGTAATGTTGAAATTATAGAGGTAAAATAAAATTTGAGCAGGTTACACTGAAAAAAAAACAAAAAATCATTAATTATAGCATTGACACATTGTTTTAAGCTTTTTAACTAATCGATCGGCCAATAACTCGATAGAACTGAGCTAATAAAACAAATCCGAGCTCGCTACGATGTCTGGTTGCAAAGTTTTTATGCTTGCCCGAACGAACGAACGAACGAACAAAGTGTATTATTAAGCTCCCTTTTCGAAAACAAGTTTTCAAAAATGCGCTAAAAATTTTGCAGAACTGACCGTTTCTTTTCGTACCTGATGAAAATTAAGTTTCGTGATTGCCTAAACTGCCTCCAAACCACTAAATCATAATAATTTAAGCTTGATCAAGCTTCAAACCATATTTTGAACATAGAATTAGTTGCAATTAAGTAGGGTGACCATCTGCGTAGTTTTTCAACGGACAAAACTTTGCTTCCTGAATAGTTAAATTTCAGTATTGTAAGTATTGTAAAGTATTGTAAATTTATATGAAAAGTATTGTAAGTATTGTACAATACTTACAATACTTACAATACTTATATGGCAAGTATTGTAAGTATTGTAAGTATTGTACAATACTACAATACTTGTATGGAAAGTATTGTAAGTATTGTAAGTATTGTACAATACCGTACAATACTTTGGAGTGTCTGACCCTTGCTTTTTTGTTTGTCAACTTTTTAAACCTTTTTTTATTAATTGAAAATTTCGAGTGAATATAAAAAAGTCATGTGATGTTAATAAATTTTAATCTAATCCTTTGTCTAGCAACAAATCGTACTTCAGACAAAAAACTTGTAAAACTCAATTACACAATATTATATTTTTGCTAAGACGCAATATTTTCTTGAACAAAGGCAAGGCTCCCGCAGATTATGAGCTTTTTAAAATGAAATTTATAATCTTTGTAAGGAATTATTTAAGAATTTTAACCTACGAAAACCTTGAACAAATGATACAATCTTATATGGTGATGTTTTGAATGTTTACTTAATATTTTCAAACAAATATTAAACTGCGGAATTCGATAATGTTATACGAATGGAAAGTTTGTTGCAAGGCGTGGAAACTCAGGATTAATTCTGAAAAATCCCAAAAATCCAAAAATTCCTGAGCCAATAATCATGGAAATGTGAAATCCCTTTTAAATCCCGAAGTTGTTCATCAAATGCATCAGGGATTTAAAGTGGATTCTCCATTTCCATATTTATTGGCTCAGGAATTTTTTAGGATTTTTCAGGATTAATCCTAAGTTTCCATGCCTTGGTTTGCTGTCATAAATTACACAGGACTTTGTTGTTGACAATGATAAACGTTATCGTTTATATTAATTAAAAAAAAATAAATCTTTAATTTGACAAAAATAATGGAGTTCAGGAAATACAACGTGCTCCTCAAGATTTAATTTTAAAATAATCGTCCTTCAATCAACAGCAAGTTGTGATTCGGCAAACTATCTTAAAATGATTTGGCAAGAACAGAAGATGGTTACCTTTTGTATTCAGATGAACTGTTTTGTATTAATTTTATGCAACTGGTTTTTTATTCTGTGCATCAATTTTTGGCTCAAGGGTTAGAATGAGGTTAATTTAGCTTCAGAAACAGTCGCTGGTTAAAAATCACACAGCTAATACGCATATTTTGATACCCTTTGAAATTTTTGAAAATGAGTTCTTCAGGCTGTAGTAAAAAAATTGTGTTTTGACTGAAACTAAAAATTTAAACGCTCTTAGCGTGGAATATAATTTTTAATAACTTTTATTAATTTTAATATGTATTTTTTCTTTTTTTTTAATTTCTAGAAAACATGTGTGGACTCAATGATACTGTCAACAATGCCAAAAAACTTTTAAATAATAAGTTAAATACTGAAAATGAACTTAGAAAATTGTTTTTTGGTCCTCGTTTGATAAATCACAAAATTGTAAATTTTTTATTTGTTGGTGATGACGAAAATGATTTTCTGAAAAGCTTTATTAATTATTTTTATGATCGGGTAAGCTGTTTATAGATTTTCAACAATATTATTTTATTTTTTCGTATTTAATTGATATTTTCCAGTTTGATTCACTAAAATATAAGAAGAAGAAACGAAATGTGGATTGGAAAAATTTAAAAATTGAATATTCAGCAATTAATATCTGGAATGATGTTTTTATACACGCTGATGAATCTTCTGGTAATTATTTTGGAATTCTGTTGACGAATATCAATCGACTCCAAAATAAGGAGGCCATCAGCGGCGCTGAAGTACTTTTTAAAATTGGATCTTTGATTCCTTCAACAAATGTCGTAAATTTAAGCGATAAACTATCTGAAAATAATTTATATTATTTTAAGAAAACACTCGATTTTCTGCTAAATTATCAAAACTTATCAAAGTTCAATAAAAATGGAAGTGAATTCATCGATCAATTGACGATTGTAAATCAAAGTCACGAAATTTTCAAGTATTTAAATATTACTGATGAGGATACGTCAACATCAAAATTAGAAGAACTAGAGACTCAACCATCTTGCTCAACAAGCAGCAATCAAATTAAAAATAAGAAAAAATACAGCAGACAATCTGATGATGATTATCAAGCTTCCCTCAGCAGTCCAAAAAAGAGTAGGACTTCTGACAGTGAATTAGATGATGATGATGAAGATAAAAACGCAATTAATGATTTTAAAGAATGTTCAAGAGCTCACAAGATGGAATCAAAATCAAAAACCTTCAAATTTATTTCCCCAAGATGTGTTAAAAAGTATCAAGCTAAAGCATTGGCAAAAGAAATCAACAGTTTAACCATAAATACGAAAACGAGGAATTTCGAGACAATGCTTGATGTTGAACAATACCTTACAGCTCTTCCAACTAAAACGCAAGGTAAATATTTAAAATACTTTTTGCATTAATGATGTTTGCTTAAAAAATATCAATATTTTGTTTACAGAGAATGACTGCATCTTTAGACTTCCTGAGGACATTTTCATTGAGGCTTTTAAATTCTTAAATGACGATGAAAAATTGAATTTAATTTTTACTTCACAAGGGTAAGTCTATAATACAATTTTGATTATTTCACGTACATTGGATGACTATTTGCTCTATTATTATGAGCTGCGTTATTTTTCATGATTTTAGGGTTCATTAATTATGAAAGAAGTGAACGGTCATTTTTCTTAAAAAAGAGCAATAGATTTTCACGAATTTCTTTTGTTTTTTCTTGCTAATCCCCCCTCCACTCACATGGGCGTCATAAGTGAACGATTCTATACTTTAAGCAATTTGTTTTGCATTTTTAGGCTTTATTAGGCAAACTTAAACATTTTCTGTGTCTCTAACTTAGACTGTCTATCGATTATTGCCAATTTGCGCTCATTAAGCGTGACATGTCCCGATTTCAGCTATGACAAAGTGGGGCAAAGTAAATTTTTAAGCGTTTTTCATGAAAATAAGGTTTAAGCAAGCGGGATAATGTGAATTTAAAGCAAGACACTGTTCAAAAAGCTGAACTGTTCCTTTTTAAAAGTGTGCAGTTAGACAGCCTTCCACAACCTTACCTCTCCCGTGGCTACACCTCTTATAGATCCAATTATTCTACGAGTATCCTTTTTATTGAGAATTTAAAGTTTTTCCGGATTTTTAGCACTAAAACTTGCTTTCGTGCCCTTTTACTAGAAATTTAAGGCAAGCATGGCTTTGCATGAGAATAATCTTAGTAAATAGCATAAAATACTCCAAATCTTTGAAGTTTCACAAATTGTCTAGCATTCATTGTCAGATGCAATTCTTTGGTATGATCTTCTTACAAACCAAAGTTTGTATTCTGGTGTAGTGTTGAAGTCTTTAGTAAAGACTATGTCTCCTAAGAAGGATGCAATAGTTGAATGACCTTCGATTCTCAGTCTAATGTTTCATCTGCTGAGATATTGAGATATAAGCTAATATCATATTTCAAGTCCTCATAAAGCCTCAATTCGTCTTCCTAACTTACCGTTTAACCCAAAAAATCTTTAATTTTTTTTAAAAAAATTGGTATGGCCTTGGCCTCAATTTTATATAGAGCAAATGCTTAAAACAGTTTACCGACTTTTCTAATTTTAAAAAAAGCTTCTAATTTGAACAAAGTTTTTTGAAAGTTCAAAGTGAAATTCTTAATCTTGTTGGATAAATGACAATCAAAGCTTTAGTCGGATAAAAATTTTGAGAATCTATTTTATGTTTAAACATTTAAATGATAAAGATTAAAAATTATATTTCTTTATTCTTCCAGATTTGTTAAAATCTTTCAAATGTCCAAAGCAATTTTGAAAAGATTTAAAATAAGAGTCAATAAGCACAATATAGATAAACTCTTAAGACATCCTCCATTGCACCGCATCCCCGTCATCAACTTATCTTTCGATCTTGAAGGAATTTATGAGAATCAAAAATATTTGATACTTTTGAATAAATTTAAAGGATCAATTGAGCACCTTGAAGTTAAAAATGCAGAATTTAAAAATTATAATGAATTTTACGAATTTTTCGGACATATTCCTTATCTAAAAACTTTGTACCTAGAAAGATGCAAAGTTGGAAACGTTAAAAATGAAATATTTCCACAACAACCTCATTTGGAATCAATTTATTTAAACAAATGCGACGACAACATTTTCAAAATCTTACAAAATCAACAATCAATTTCAAAAATCACAATCCGCAATGATGACTGGACTTGGAATGGATTTCCTCATAACATCTTCAATGAAATGGCAAAAAATGCACAAAAATTAAAGAAAATTGTGTTAATTGGCTCCGGAACCGGAAGTTTCTTCGACACTGATGACATTTCATTCAAAGTTGAAGTTTTAGACACAACAATGATCACTTTCCATTGGTACGTAGGCATTAGAAATGGAAGGACTAGCTTCCTGAAAACCCAACTTGGACATCTTAAAGAATTAACAATTCATCAACTTCCATTTGATTTTGACGGTGGTAAAGTCCTCAAGTACATCATTGAAGAGATGAATTTGGATAACTTTTATTACGGCAAGATTCCATTGATCCTCGATGGACAGAAGCAGGAAGTCAAGGAATTTGAAGCAAATGAAATACAAATAACAAGCATTTATGAAATGTTTAAACAATTTCCATGTAAGTTTATTTAAAAAAAATGTTTAGTGACTTTTGAGAGTGGCACCAACAACATCTAGCTTTATGACTGCCAATTCCCCCCGTCCTTTTTGACCACACCACTAGTCATCCTCATCTAGTTACACCTTAAATTTATATCCAAAATATTTACCCAAATGTCATTTTTTATCAACAGCAACTCCTTCATTTCGGTTCAATTTGTCATCAACAGACATTGCAAGTGACGAAATCGAGAGACTCATAAATCCACAAACAAGTTTATTTAAAGGACTAGAAAATTTTGAAGTTGTTGACAGCAGTAAGTATAGAGGTACGCTTGGAGTGTTTTTAGGGATGTTCAAAAACATGAGAAATTTAAAAAGCTTGTCACTAAAGACTGAAGATCGCAACATAAACACTTTACTTGAAGAATTTCTGCCATGCATGTCAAAATTGGAAGAAATTTATTTAACATCAACAGCACCAAGAAAAACAGAAAGATTAAATATAATTAAGTCATTTGTTCCATTAATTCGTAAACTTAGTGTTGCACCTCAGTTTGTTGAGGAAGCAAAGATGGTTTTTGAAAGCACTGTTGATGTATGCAGTGTCTTTGAAGTTTAGTTAAGATACCAAATATAATTTACTATTATTTACTTCTAACGAATGAAAATTTTCTAAAAAAGAAGAATAATTCAATTATAAAATCAGGTAAAATTGGGATTGAAATGAAATAATTTAATCCTAAATCCGTAAATGACTGTCAGTATTTTTTAAATTGAACTTATAATGTGGTACAAAGTCATTGCCAGGAATATGAAGACGAAGTGGAAAATTTTAGGGGGGGGGGGATATTTTTCATAAAACCCTTTAAAAAATTAACAAATTTCTGTTTATAAACTTAGGGATATTTTTGTTCTATAATTAGTTTATTAACTAGATCTTAAACTGATTTCTCTCACCTAAAAGGTTTTTTAATGCCTGTTTTAATAGTTTTAATCCTGTGCGTAAAAAGGCTTTTTCCTTTTCGAGGCGAGAGAAATATTTACAAAAATTCAATAATATTCATGAGTTAATTACCAATTCGACATATTTGTCATTTTTTTAAATTTTTAATGATTAAGTGTTAAAATGGGTGTGACATCATAAAGTAGGATTTTAATTATCATTATTGAATTTAAATTGTGCAGATATTTAACTTTTTGTTTTAATTCCACACCAATTTTCAAATATTATTAAATCAAATAATTTTAATGCAATTATTTATAAGCAACTCCATACTTTTTGTATCAAAAGCTGAGGTCGAAGTCGACATGAATTCCTTAAAAAACGAATCAAATTTGCAAAGAATATTTTCTGCTGCAACTTTTTTTATGATAAGCGAAAGATTATGTCGATTTTGACTTCTGAAATCAAAAGTGTTAACTTAGAAATTTCTAATTTATTTATAAGTTATTTAATTTGTTTAAAAGACGAGATTAAATATTCAAATACTTAAAACATTTATCGAGATCAGTAAAATATTTAAATTTGCAATCTGAATTGCGTAATAGTTTAATAAAATGTAATTTTTTAAAAAATTAATATTATTAAAAAATAAAACAACAGTTTTTGAAATATTAAATTTTTTCTTAAAAGTTTCTTCTCAGTTTAAATTTGTAGCTTACTTGCAAGTTATTCTACGAATTTGTCATTAATGTTATTGATGTTATAATCTTTGTTATAAGTAAAACGAGGACGTTCAGTAGAATAAGAAAAAAAAATAGTTGAAATTGAATTTTAGTTTTTCTTATTTTGGCTTCTATTTTGAAATTAATTCATTTTACATTTATTTTTCTTACACCAGCAATTAAAATGTGTAACGGAAGATTGAGATTTGAATAATATCTCGAGAGCTTTTTTTTATCTTCAAATCAAATTAACATCGTGTTATTTTAAATAATGTGAATTAAAGTATTAATAAGGCGAATAAAACTGCGAAATATATAATTAAACAATTACAACACATTCAGGCGTATTAAACAATTCAAATTGAGCTAAATCTTTATTTAATTACAGCGATATTGACAAAAATATATATTTAAAGGTTTTATCACCTAAGGTGTAAAATTATCATCCCTTAGAGCCTTTAAATATATCTATGGCGTTTAATTAAAATTCTATGGCGTTAAAAAATATTAAAACCCACTTAAAAATATAAATTAAGTAAAAAAATTATTTATTTAAATGTTATTTATTGGTTAAATCATTGTTGAACATTGAATGTCCATCATTGAGCCACAACAATCATTAATCAAGTTTTATCACCCATGCAGTAACGCATGGAGTCTTGATTTGGGTCGAAACAAGCATTTTAATCCTGTACTACGACTGGCTTTCACTCCATTTACAAGATTAGATCCAGTGAGTCATCGAATCATCCCATCTTTCAAGTTCAAAGTCAAATTGGATGATCCTTTAGAGATAGCATCGCTTGATTTCATCAATTCGTTAGCAGAGTCATTTGAGATATCTCTAAATAGTACAGTGTTGCAAGTTCATCCATTAATTAATGTAGCCAAGTGGAAATTTAGTCGAGACACAAACCGGAATCAAATTCAAAAGTTTCCGTTACAGATTGATCACGTGTTAAGATTATTAAGACCTAAATTTCGTGCTACATATTGGCGAACTTGGCAAAGGACGAAACAACAGCCGAAAAACAGAAAGAAACATCATCAATCAATTAATGGAACACAATCATACAAATTCAAAGCAAAATTAAGAATGTCATTCCGAAATAATTTACCTGTACCGACAAGAGGATTAAGATACAATGTTCAGCATATAACTCAACCACAATATATTCGTCCAGTACCTAATTTTACCCAGTTTGTTGATGATTTGTCACCACTACAAAGAAAATTTGTCATATCGATCCATGGACTTTCGGAGGAATTAAATGTTCGAGACCGTGACGTCGTTGAAGGAATTAGAAAGTTTCTTATTGAGGACACAAATACTTGGAAGCAAGGCAAAGTACCCATTTATTGCTATCGCTATGTTGAAGCAGCAACAGCATATGCTGTATTCTTGGAACAAATTGCTTACGTTCATGAAGGTTTTAACAGTCGAGGTTTTGGAGATAAAGAAAGACGATTTTTATGTACACAAATTGAGTCTTTAACAGATCTTTTTTATGCAAGTATTCCGACCATCAACAATTTAACATTCTTTGAACAGTCTCGTTACAAACAAGAGTTTCAGCAGCTACAGTCATATCGAGAAGCTTTAGTAAATACAGCAGATTTTTCAACATCATTAACAAATGTAATGCAACTTCCAAATGACACTCGTGATTTTTCTCGTACTGTTCCTACGTCATTTTCAACACCTCACATTACACCGTCCATTAGACCATCTCGTTTATTTAATGTACCACAACCGGAAATTCCAACAACTATTTCATCACCTGGAACATCTGGTGTTTTGCAACAAATATCTGAAGAATCAAATAGCAAAATGATAATTGACAATACATTCGAACAGCAACCATCAACAGTTACTACAACTTGTGAAATGTCTATAGCATTAAGTTCAACTTTAACTAATGTTACTTCCACCAATATTTCAAATGTTATCACATCCACAACACAATCAATTATTGCACCACTAGCATCCACAAGTCAAAAGCAAGTCGTGTCTGAGGACGATATTCAAGGAAGTAATACCGACGAATTGAATTTTCATCAACAGGCAGTTCAAGATTCAATATCAGACGCATTTGCAGCTATGAGCTTTAATGAGCAATATAATACATGTGTGGAATCAAATCAAGAACCAAATTTCGGACATAACATCAGTCAAACAAGAGATAGCAATAGGAATTTTTCATTTCCAAAATTCAGACATCAATCTCCTCAAACTTATCAAAATAAAGGAATTAATAGCATTCAGCATTTGCCGAGATTACCACAATCAACCATAAACAATCCAACACACATTGCTGATGGAAATGCTCAAAATATGAGGTATAATAATTCTGGCATTGAAAATTCATCACCTGCTAGCAACCTCAATAATTTGAATTATGTTGAAAGGGATTATAACCCATGCGAAAATAACTTTCGTTATGTGCCTTTAAACAACAGCAACAGTAATCGAAATCCATTTCCACCACCAAACAACAACAGCAATAATAATGTCAATGTCAATGATTTAACAGAGCTATTGACAAGAATGATATCGATACCTAGAACTAACTCATATATGCCAAAACTTAATGATTGGTATCCAAAGTTCACTGGAAGCGATGATTGCTCTTTAATTGATATTTTGGATCAATGGGAAAAAATGGCAGAAAATTGTGGCATGAGTCATACAATCTTATTGTCACAAATTCAAATGTTATTAAGAAATGATGCTTTGAGATGGCACAACGCTATAGGAGTTGATATAAGAGATTGGTCACAATATAAATCAGCTATCATTAACCGATTCCAAGCAAAAGAAAAAATAGTTTCGTTATTCATGAGCAATGTGAATGAACAGAAACAAAACGAAAAATTTAATTCTTATTATGCTCGTCTACGTATGTTAATTAAGCAATCAGGAAAGGAAATTACAGACAAACAATTAGTTACAAGATTATTAACTGGATTACGTGATACCAGATGTCGAGATGTCGTTCGTAACTATTCATCATCAGAACAAGCTATTGACTGGAATAGAATAATTAAAAACATTAACGAAATTGAAATAGAATACGATTTAATAGCAAGATCGAAACAAAATGTCCCATTATCATCTGAGAGACTTAAATCATTACCTCTCAAGTGGAACATTAATAACGACATAAAAAATTTACAGTTCAAAAATGCAGAAAAATTCGTTAATAATTCACCATACTTCCAAAAAGAAGTAAATGCGACAACCAAATCCGACACAAACAATGTTAATTCTACAGTTAAAAATTTTACACCCGATAAGCAGCAATTTAACAAAAAATTTAACTTTAAAAATAAGTTTAATGTTAATAAGCCCAAGAAGGATATAGCAGCAGTTGAAATCAACAATTACATGGAACCATCAGAAGAAGTTATTCAGGAAATTGAAGCCAATCAACTGATGCTAATGGATTTATTTGAAAAGAGTAATTGGAGTGACAATGATGTAAATGAATTTATGTCTATGCAGTCATGTTCCAATTGTGATGAAGATGGACACATATTGGAAGTCTGTCCATTATTAGAAGACAACAAGTTTAAGCAGCAATGCACATATTGTCACACACCTGGCTTAACAACATCATCTTGTGAAAATTGCTCAAAAAATTAATAAATCACAATGTGCCAGAGAGCTCACATCTGTGTCTTTATATAAATGCTCTTAACATATCAAAAAATCATCAGTTTCCAGATAAATTCATATCATTACCAAGAAGCCAATCAGATTCTTCATTACATGTTTCTTCATCAAAAACAAATTCAATTTACAATAATATTCGCATCGCGCACGATATTGATTACAAATATAGAAATGATAACCGACCATATGTCAACATAAAAATACATAACATCGCATATAAGGCATTATTGGACAGTGGCGCATCAATTAGTATAATTGGAAAAGATTTTGAAGAAATGTGGAATACATTTGACGACTTGAGCTGTCAGAAGAAAATAGAAATAAGAATAGCTAATGGTGAAATGCTTGAAAGCATGTCAATTAAGAAAATACCGATATTTTATGATGGCATAACAAAATACATTGATTTTGCATATGTTCCTATGGTTATTTATCCTTTAATTCTTGGAATGAATTTCTTCAATCTTTTTAATTTAAATTTTTGTGTATTAAATGACAAAAATGACAATATTATGACTAAAAACCTAAATTTATGCGCATTAAGTGACAATCAATCGATTTACATCGAAGAAAAAATTAATGTTTCACCAAAAGTTCAACATAAATTGGATAACATATTAAAAAAATTTAAATTCAGTGATAATGGCATATTAGGATGTCAAAATTTAATTAAACATAGCATAAACACAGGCAACGAACAACCAATAGCTCAAATTCAATACAATTATAATCCAAAAGTTATGGAACAAATTCATAAAGTTATTGATGACTGGCTTGAAAATGATGTAATTGAGAAATCGATGTCTAGCTGGAGAAATCCAATTGTTGCAGTCAAAAAGCCTGATGGAAACATACGAGTTTGTCTTGATGCTCGGAAATTGAATAATATCACAAAAAAGGATAGGCTGCTTACACCAAATGTATTTGACGCTATTAATTCCATTCCATCTGACGTTAAAATATTTGGACGTGTTGACAAAAATCAAGCTTTTTTGCAGACTAAACTTGAAGAAAATGATCGAGAAAAAACAGCGTTTTTTGTAAAGGGTCGTGGATTGTATCATTTTAAGCGAATGCCTTTTGGTTTAACAAATTCACCTGCAACACAAACAAGACTAATGTTAGAAATTTTTGGCGACTTGTCACCATATGTCCTCGTTTATTTTGACGACATCATTATATTAGCGAGAGACATTGATCAATTTTTATACTTACTTGACATAGTAGCTGAAAGATTATCATCGAACAATTTAACAATCAG